CCTATGACTCCAGCGAAACATTTTTTAAATTCTCCTCAAGATTTTGCTTTCAGGAGCAAAACAGAGCCATATTTCCAGGCACTAGCTGTCTGAAATCCACCCAGCCTAATCTTCAAGGGTTAATCTTTTCTTCAGGGGGGTTTAAAAGCTCAGCTGACAGTGCAGAGTCTAATCAATTCAGTTTGCAATCTCCATAAGTAATAAAAAAGAATGTCTCATTTAGGAGAAAAGGAGGACTTGATGCAAATTCATTAAGATGTTAACCACCACCCCCAATAATAAAATATTCCTTCCTAAAATGATAGTTTTATCAGAGAGACATAACCCTGTCACATCTTTGATGTGGAGAAGTACATTTTCTTCTTAAATGGATCAAAGCTCTTCCAATTTTGAAACACTCGTACGGTATTAAAAAAACTCACCTAGATTTGTGTTTCTTCTAAATTTTGCTTTAATATTTAGATGAGCATGTACAATTTATATGAAGTTGAATTAAATAACAATCACATTTTATATGAATGGAAATGTGTGAATAGAAATCTAAAGATGGCCTATAGTTTCCATAGTCTTTTGCATTGTAGAAACCATTTTTAGAATTCTAGTTACATAGAGTTCTTTTAAAAAAAAGTTCCTGAAAATTGTAAATTGTTACACCCAATCTATTCAAATTTAGTTCTCAGAACTCTAGCAGTGTCTCAATCTTGGCAGCTTCAAGATGGGTAGACTTCAATGGTGGCTGGGGAATTCTGAGAGTTGAAGTCCATCCATCTTCAAGCTGCTATGGTTGAGAAACTCTGCTCTAGCACAAGTGATGATGATTAGACTAAGGAAGCTCTTTTCAATCTAGGAGAAACTTCAATTGCCAAAATCGATTGGGTGATGCACTTGATATATTTGAACATTTTCCATTTTTCTCTCCCTACCATTATGCCTTCTTTGAATTTATCAATTCTCATTGCAGGCAAGGAATAGGTTGTGATTTTGGGGTAAGAAAAAAGATAAGTGCATGATCTGATGCTTTAATCAACATAACAAAAGCAACTTTTGCACCATTATGTCCCAAGTCACAACACTTGTACAAAAGGGCAGAATTTACAATAAAACGGTGTGGTGCTGCTTTTATCATCTGTGCATCCTCTCTTACGGAAGTTTGTCAAGCCCATGTGCATTCATTTGGAGACAAATTGCATTCAGTATAGCGATAATGGATGATAATTACCACTATGTTTTAACTGAATCCCCTGGCATTCAGTATCCTCAATAGAGACGACTATAATAATCCTTCAATGTAACTTCTGCAAATTCCACAGTACTGAGTACTGGAAAATTTCTACTGTAAGTTTTAGTTAGGCAAAGGCTTTTTTTTTTTTTGCTACAGTTTTCCACTAGAGGACGAGCTAACCCAGCTTTAGTTGCATTAGGATTTTTTTCAAGATATTTCTCTACAGTTTGGGGGGAGGGGAAAATGTTCACAATGTTTATTGATCTTCAGGTTAAAATCAGACAAGGTGAATAATGACAACTTTTACTGAAGCAACTTATTATTAGCCAGACTGATGGAATTTACTGCACATCTAATAATTCTCTCTTCAGTAATTTTTAAGAGAAGTCTTCTCAAACAGGGCATTAAAATGTTGCATTGGAAACGGACTTTACTGTTCTCAGCTGCTCCAGTTTCCCACCACATGACTTGGAGCAGTGGTGGGATTCAGCCAGTTTGCACCACTTTGGGAGAACCGGTGATTAAGTTTCTGAGCACTTTGGTGAACTGGTTGTTGGAAGAAATCATTAAGGCAGAGAACCGATTGTTAAATTATTTGAATCCCACCACCGACTTGGAGGTTTTAATATGCTACTTCTCTATAGATTAGACCAGGGGTTAGGTGACTTTAAGACTAAGCCAGCTAAGGAATTCTGGGAGTTGAAGTCCACAAGTCTTAAAGTTGCAAAGTTTGGAGAACCCTGCTATCGTGAGAGAGTTGTCAAGTTTAGTCTTTGTGCTGAAAATCATTGGATCAGTTTCTTTCTCTTGGCTTTCTTTCATTCATAGCTGAACCACTCCAGGGTTTGTTTAGTGAGGTAGTATTCCACCACAGGGTTAGTTTTGAGACATGTGGCGATGCAAAGATTGCTGTCTTTTGCCTTTTGGATTTAGTGTGGCAGAGTGTGCCAAATAACTCAGATGGTGGAGCAGCTCCAGTGGGTTGCCCTCCAGAATTGCTAGCCAAATTCAGTTTTGGCTAGGAATGCTGGGAGCTGCCATCCAACACATGTGGAGAGCCTGAGGCTAGGAAGAATGGCTGCTCTTTGGGGACATTGCCTTGAAGGTCACTGCACCAGCTGAACAGAGTGAGAGTGTAGGACCCAACATTTATTTGCAGCTTTCTAATATTAATGCATATGGGAGTATAGTTTTTAGCCATCATTTTTAATATGTAATTTCCTGCAACATGAGATGTGTTTTATTCATCTGTGATATGCTTAGTGTCTTGAATCTCTCCAGTATTTTTCTATTTTCCTGATTGACAGCATCACACACTCACTAAAGTGGCACCTTCTTTTTTGGAAACTGGAGATGTGCTTGTTTTATTTCTGGAAGAGCCACAAATAACTTTAATCATATGAAGTGTGTTTCCGATGCCACTGTCAGCATAGCTAAGATAGATATAATACTTCAGCAATCTCGCTAGATGCTGAGAAGGACAATATTTGGCCATTTTTATTAGAGGATGGTCAGGCTTTGGGTTGGAGAGATTCCTGGTGGCCGGTTTACATGGCATATTAAATTAAAGGAAGATTTCATATTGTCAGTTACTTCTTTCTTCTCTCCAATTGCTTTAGAAATCAAAGATTTAGATTCTAGTGATGCAGTGACTGAGTAGGCAAACATGACAGCCAATATGTGCTAAGCAATAACTCACTCTGCTTGGATGCTGGAAACTATTTTATTGAGACAGACAATGGGGAAAAATGAATTGCCATTTTCTTTAGGGCCCTGTGCAGTGTGCATTTTGTTTTCCCTAAGTGAATTCATTGGTAGGTTCGGCATATTATTTTCTAAAGCTTTGCTGTAAAGTGAGATCTGGCTTGCAAACTCCACTTGAACAGATGGCAAGAATGGCTGAATTCATATAGCCCAAAGGAAGCACAAACTGAGTTTGTGTCATCTTCATTACTCATTGAGGTTACTGCTATTCAGTTCTATTCCCATATGTTATCCTGTTTTAAGTCTAATCTTAGCAAGGCTTAGCTAAGGTTCAGTCATATTAGATCTTTATTACAGCAATAGACAACACAGGGGATCAATCTGCTTTATAACCACAGAATATAACAGAATAATAATTATTTTTAAAAAAGTTTTTGCTTATTTATTTTCTCAGTCCATTTCCTGGAAAACTGGCTGATGATTCTAGATGACATGGCATTAATTCTGGCAACATTGACCACTGGTCACATGGACTGATGTAGAATTAACAATGTTTAAAAAATAGTCAGAGACATTCAGAAAGCTCTCTGTTTTTATATCTTAAGCTACTTCTCTGTTTTATTCTGTCAACTGTGTAAAGGTATTTTTTTTGTCACATATTAGTTCAAATATGTCCTAAAATTATCAAAGGTATCTACTTTCTATAATGCAGATGCATATTGGACTATTTGTAGCATTGTCCCATATATATTGTAGAATGCCAAACCACCGAAAGTCCAACTGGAATCTTACCATCCGCTCCTTAAAACATAAAGTTGTAGCTTACAGTAATTTATTCTCAGATTTTTGATTAAAGAAAACTAGACCAAAAAAAAAAAAAAGTGTCGAGGTCCTCTGCTTCAGATCAAATAAGATAATCCAAGTTGTGATCCGGCAAAATTCCTCCAAAATGGATATTTCTGCAAAAATTTCATTAAATAGTGTGGCTAAAGAAATATCAAGAACTAGCTGGATACCCGTCTTCATGTTGAAATTATGTGATTGGGCTATGCAGGAGAAATTCGGTTCACAATCGGTTGGCTCAGTGGTGGTTGGTGAGGTACCAACGCTTAATACTGAATGAAGGAGTGGAATGTTTGGCAGTTTGAACTGAGGTAATGGAATGTGAGGCAACTGGCAATTGGAAAAGAGTTCTTTTCTAGTGGGGAGGGAGAGTAGAATGTCTAACTCCATACCATCAGAGCATGTTAATATAAAGCAACTGGCAGATGGGGAGGGGAAGTAGAACTCCTTAGCATCAGAGTGTGTTAATTACTGTATAAGAAATTCTAATTATCTGATGGTCATTTCAAAAAATCCTTTCTTATCTAGAAGCAATATTTCAAGTTTGTAGGATTATTGGTTTTGAAGTCCCAATATTATCCCAAGTTGGGGACAACATGGCTTTAATTAGCCATTGCAAAGAAACAATCAGAGGATATATTTTTTGTCTCCCACAAAGCACCACAAAGTCATCTGCGTGGCATGATCCAACATATCACAGGTCTATTTGACTTGTACATACATATCAGATGAATGCATCACTACATATGGCCATGGTTTTTTTTTCTAGTCAAATTTACACCTGTCAAAATAGTGTTAATATTAGTGAAATCCAGTATCTATATCTGGAAACTTCCCATATGTTAAACGTTGTACTTGGAAGAAGAGAGGGAAAACCATTGGGGAAAAAAATTATTCTCTTGATTGTTTTGGATTTTCCTTCAATAATGCTGTCATTAACTCCTAACTATCACAATAAAACAAGCAGCAATTAAGTTCATGTTCTTATACCTTCAATTTGTAATATATGGGCTTCATAACAAAGAGTTCAGTTCCATTAACCAAACATAGTGGACTTTGGCATGAACACAAAAGCTTGTTTAAATATGTCCAGCTTTCTTGAAATGTCTGTCATGTAGAATCCAGTTTGATTGGTTTCCTCCCTCCCATTTTGTTTGTTTTTCTTTTGGTCAATTATTCACAATATCAAAGAACGTTCGGGACACAAAATACACTCTTTAAAAAAAAAAACCCAGACCACTCCCAAGTGGGTACTCAAAGGTTTTCAAACCAAAAAAATAAATAAATGAAAAGGATTTGGTTTTGCTAAAAGAAAATGAAGATCCACCCAAATAATATACTTTTTCCTATAATTTTCTTAATAGCTTACTTGCTATTATGTCAGAATACAGATGCGGCAGAGAGTAAGATAACCGGATTGCCTTCCCAGAGGTAAGTCTATCTCCATGTAATTTAAGATACTACCTGTCATATAGAAATTCTTATCTGGTCAGAACATCAATTCAAACTCACATATGAGTCGTGTGGGTACCATTATCTTAAAGCAGCTAACAAAAAATGGTTGACACAATTGTCCCATCACTATGGAGCAGTAACACAAATCATTTTTGAGTCTCATAATTACATCTGTTTAAGATATTTCCTCCTGAGCCACAATTTGTTCTTCAGACAATTCTGTTCTTCATTCCATGCAGACTAAATCAAAATGAACTTGTAACCAGATTATTTAACAATACATTTGATAGCTATTCTATATAATTTTCTGGTGATTAAAAAAAAAAACCAGGGACAAATGCTATCCTCAAAGTTAAACTCCATTAAATTCTTTGGACTTTAGTTCCAAGTAAAAATATATAAGACATTTCCCCTCATTTCAAAGCTGAAATCCTTAGTGGAACTAAATTAAGAATAGAATGTTTTTATGCTAGATAAAGTGATCACATCAAACAAGGGGGAAATGTAATGAAGGTGAACTTCAAACATTTTTGGGAAAGAGAAAGCAAGAATACTATGTTTGGATTATTAATATATGATTTCTGAATTTTCAGGATTGATTCATTTGTTTCTGCAAAAAGTACAGATGGCTTATTTTTGTCATTGCATTCCTCCACTGCACCCGTTCCCAGCCAAATGTTTAGTAATTTCATCACTTTGTGCTCCATGCAAGCGACAGCACAGGGCAGAAAGTGGAGAGGAAAGAACAAAAATAAAATAAACAATTACAGATTATTTTTTAAAAAATGATCCTCTCCAACTGACTAGTTCTGAAATTGAAACTGACCTATAGAAACAGTGAGATATGATCAAGTACACCCCACTGCTATCTTTACATACATCTCTTGGTCTTTAGAGTAGCAATAGCACTTAGACTTATATACCACTTTACATTGCTTTACAGCCCTCTCTAAGCGGTTTACATAGTCAGCATATTGCCCCCAATAATTTGGGTCCTCATTTTACCTACTTCTGAAGGATGGAAGGCTAAGTCAACCTTGAATATCACGTCTTTTCCAGCTTTGGAAGAGTTGTTCATTGTACTTATTATTATTAGTTTTCGTCCTTACAAAAAATAAATCTCCTATATACAGTAATATATCTGCTTGTCATCTGACATTGTGGATTATAGCCTGTGAAATCTCGTGTCATATTAAATTTGCTGGTCTTCAAGGTGCCGAAGCACCTTACATTCTCCTAGTCTGTCAGTCATAATGATAATAGAAGGTAAGTGATAATGACAGGGTCTGTGTTAGCAACGTGACAATAACAAGCATTGCTCAGAGTTTCTACTTCAACAAATAATCAAATTGGATGTATCTTATTAAGGAATACATTGGATTCAGATCTGCACCCTATCTCACCCTATGTTCCTTCTAGAGAACATACCCTGAAGAAATTCACACACAGGTAGTTGTGAATCATTGAAAAATGTAGCTATTTGAATTGTCTACCATGGGACATTTATTCTGATAATAAAGTAATGTTGCTCCAAGGAACAATATTACTTTATTATCAGAATAATCTACTTGTTATCATGTAAAATAATGTGTTCAAGATTTTGTCTACTCTGCCAAGGAAAGACTGCCTAGAATCTGAAGTAGAGATCTTTAGCCAGATTGTATTAACTTTGGAGTTATAAGTTATTCTGGATCAAACCTGACTTTATATTAATAAGGTTTTTTTTTCCAAGTGGGATAAGATGCATACAATTCTGAATCAGATGAGCATATATTTATGTTTAATTAATATACAAGGATGTTTATTTAATCAAATATAAATTAATTCATGTGAGTATAATTATATTTAATGAAGTATTCAGAAAAATAAAATTAAGGGTAATAGTATGCATTTTATAGTTTCAGGCCTCCAAATTCCACAATATTTTCATGTGATCTCATGCTTCCTTGGGACAGTTGTCAGTATTCCTTTTATTTAATATAAAATTCTGGGATCTTTTATGCTTATCTTTAGTTCTTCCAATACCAATATTTTTTCCCATTTTTTCCTGTCAAAGTTTAAAAGTTGTTGCCTCTGCAGTATTTCGTAAGAGGGGAGGACAAAGGTAAGGTTGAGACTACAATTGTAGCTTGTCAAGGAACAGAATCCTGCAGCTTCACATACATCCACAATCATGTGCACATACTCTCAAGTAATAAGTTCTAATTTTGATTTCAGTCTGATGTTACATAACACTTGTTTCTTTGGAGGAAATAATAATGGGAATTGGTTGTCTATCCAGTTTTTCCAAGGTTGTGGAAGTCTTAATTTGCCTGTTCTGTAGGCTACCATGACATTGAAAAGCTTAAATAATTACTACTGAAGCATTTTTATGTTAGAATTCCTTTAATTCTGACTAACCTTGAATTAATATTACTTCAGATGTCATGCCTAATACTGTAAATAAGTGGTATAGTGGTATAGTTTCCTACTAGACAAGAAATCCTATACCATTTCAGACAAATGGCTATCCAACTTCTTCTTAAAATCTACACTGGAAGTTTTTAAGATGTTGGATAACCATTTGTATAGGGTTTCCTGTCTAGGTAGGGGGTTGGACTAGAAGACCTCCAATGTCCCTTCCAACTCTGTTATTCTATTCTATTCTATTCTATTCTATTCTAATACTGTAAATAAGTGGATGGGAGCAACACTGAGTGAGAAATGGTCTATATTGGAGTGGACAATCCAGGGATCTAATTTTTAAGTAACTATTTTTAAGTCTCCAAGAAACACAGAAGCCATGATAGTGACATGATGATAAAACCAGAAGAAATGTAATAGGTTGTTTTTTTGTTTTTTTAAACCCTTTCTTAATTATTGGAGTATAGTATTTTTGTTTTGTTTCAGTGAAACTGCTATGAGAACTTCTTTTGATTTTAGATAGGACAAACTATGGGCATACATCATTACTTCATATATAGCTCAGATGTAGATAAAAAAGACAACCAAGTATTTTCCAAGTGTGAGTTTCTGGTACTCATTCAATTTTGGTGGTATGATGCTGTGAGAAGATACTTAGAAAAACCTTAATTAATGCATGTTTATTTATTTGCTACCTTTATATCTCACTTTTGCTCCACAACTTCACAACACAGTACACACAGAGCATACTATCCTACAGCTGAACTTAATCCCACAAGTACCATCTTGTTGAGAAAATGCTTCCGGGCCATAATCATCTAGTGAATTTCTATCACTAAGGCTGAATGTATTTTTTATACTGTCGGTTAGCTTCACTCTAGTATTGCCACCCTAATAGGCATTACCAAGACGTGCACTTAGAACTTTCTATAATGTAAAATAAATTTTGCTTGCAATGATGGTAAAATGAATTTTCTTAAAGAAATAAATGTAGATGGTATTCCTTTTCTCCTGAACATCACAGAAGAATGTAAAGTGTAAAATAAAAATAAAGTAAAATGAGCTCATCACTGTTTTCTGCCAGAGTGCAGACAAAACACAAATATGCACACAAGATTCGGCATACAAGACTCCTTGAACATTTGAAAACAGTCCTTGAAATTAACTTACCCACGTTTGAGCCTGACATACTTAATAGGTATTAAATCCAACCCCATGTTGCAGTCAAGAGTGTTCTATTAAAATTGATTTTCACAGAGTAGATGTGCAAAATGGATACTATTATTCAGTATTGCTAACTATTTTCATTCTATTACAAGATCACGAAGACAAGCTGGGGGACCTATTCCCATTGATTGTCACCTGAGCACATGGTCGCAATGGACAAAATGCTTCCCTTGCCAAGAAAAACGAGTAAGGAGTTCCAGTCTTATGCATCTAACTTCTTGCTATATGTTGCTTGCAATAAGTAAAATCATAGATCAGTATAGGGTCAATATCCAATTCCATGGCCAAAACCCCCAAACAAAACAGATTTAGACTGAATGAAGGACTTTGAAATCCTTGTAATTCTGCTCTGTTTTTGATTGGATCTAATGTGCTGCTCTGTACATACAGTGAACCAAGATGCCAGAAAAGAATATAGGAAGTACTTTGCTGGATTTGTGTATGTGTGTGTATATGCATGCATTTGTGTCACTGTTGGCTCCTGGCAACTGCCTGGATTAGTCCCTGCAGTTTTCTTAGCAAAATTTCAGAAGTGGTTTGCTGTTGCCATTGGCTGATAGAGTCATCCAGTTGGCTTCATGTCAAGAACAGGATTAAAACAAATAACTCCTGGTTTCTAGTCATACCTTAACTGCTACACTAAAGTGGCTCTCTTTGCTGGATTGATGCACTAAATATCTAGATACTTATTTTTCGGTCATTTCATGTATATTATACCCAATCTGCCTAGTACTTCTGGCAGTTTATAGCCGTGGATAACAGTCAAAACAGGTAATGTAATAAACAACTAGATGGTTACAAATCCATGACAATGCAATGGTAATAATAGCGTAAAGATTATCACATAAACTATCATGGTAATGATATTGCTGTGGAGCAATCATAACCTTAAATAGTATATTATGGCAATGTTATTCACTACTAAATGCTATCCAGAAGACCTCTTAACTAACTTCTGAAGCATTGTAATAGGGCAAGCTTTACCTCCAAGAAAAAGCTGTTTTGTTAAGACTGAGGCTGCAGAAAAGTGTGGCTTCATTTCACAAAAATGAGGTATTAACAGGAGTTTCTCTTTGGATGAACTTGGCGTGCAATGTTTCACTCACACACACACACACACACACACATAGACACACACCAGACTGCACTATTAAAGTGATAGCTCATATATTCACCAACTGTTTATATAGAATTCCAAGACATGGAAAACCGATCCCAGTTATTTGTGGGCTGATACAGAGTTATTTTATCTTCTTGAAACAAGAGTGCAATTGGATTTGAAAAAAGACCCTGCAATTTATGTTGACTGCAATCAGGCTTTACCTCTGGGTTGTTTTTTTTTAATTATCTCTGAATGTTTCATCACCGCATACTGCAAGCTGTGCTTTAAGTAATTCCCACTGTATTGAGAAACACTCAATTAGTTCTACATTTTTAATGGCTACATAATTAATGCTTCTCCTTCTTGGGTGAGATTATTTTGTGGGATTCTAAATCTTTAATTCCACATTTTAAAGAATTTGTATATAACTATTTTAATGTACTCTACAGTTCAGATCAAGGCAGCTGGTACAACCAGCTAAATATAAAGGGAGAATGTGCAATGGTAATCTTTGGGACAGAGAAACATGTGATCCGACAGAACCATGTGTGGTGGATCAAAGCTGTGGAAATGACTTTCAGTGTCAGGAGACAGGTAAGTCTGCTTCCATTTCAGTCTTCCCCATTCTGATGCCCTTTGGATGGCTTCAGTTTCTATGTTGTTGTTAGTTGCGAAGTTGTATCTGACCCATCGCCACCCCATGGACAACATTCTTCCAGGCCTTCCTGTCCTCTACCATCCTTTGGAGTCCATTTAAGCTCACACCTACTGCTTCAGTGATTCCATCCAGCCACCTCCTTCTCTGTCATCCCCTTCTTCTTTTGCCCGCAGTCTTTCCCAGCATCAGGCTCTTCTCCAGTGAGTCTTTCCTTCTCATTAGGTGGCCAAAGTATTGAGTTTCATCTTCAGGATCTGACCTTCTAAAGAACAGTCAGGGTTGATCTCCTCTAGCAATGATCAGTTTGATCGCCTTGCAGTCCAAGGGAACTCGCAGGAGTCTTCTCCAGCACCATAGTTCAAAGCAAGGGTAGGTTCTGGCAGGCACTACTGCAGGTTCGCTTGTGAGTGTGCCACATGCAATAAAAATTGTTCTGCGCATGCACAGAAGCAAAAAACAAAATGTTGGCATCTACGGCGGCGCCCGGAGAATCAATTCAGGGGCCTGGCAGGCCTGGCTCGCTGCCAGTTCCAATGATCCAGACTGCCAAACCACTACCAGTTCAGCTGAACTGGTCCGAATCAGTAGGAACCCACCACTGGTTTAAAGGCCTTAATTCTTTGGTGTTCAGCCTTCCTTATGGTCCAATTTTCATAGCCATACATTGCAACTGGGATAACCATTAATTCCCATTAAATGAGGCACTGGTGTCTAGAGGTGACCAGCCTTGAAAGATTCACTGAAATTGCTTTGAAGAAAAAAAAAATTTGGTTGTTGTTGAAATGAGAAGAACAAAACTTTTTGTTTCATAGTCTCGTTCAGTGATGATGGACTTTTTGGACTTGGTGTTCAGAATTCAGGAAATGCCTAAACTGACTTTGAAAAATACAATCCAATTCAGGCAGTGTTTTCTTTCTGTTGATAGGTCTGTGCTGCCCACAGGAGGCAGCTACAGGTTGCACGGGGCCTTCATTCTTGAAGAGGCTTTGGAGAATACTCTCACCTGGCCTGTGCAGTCTCCGAATATTACACAATAGCACACTCTTCATTCATTATTATCAGACTGTCTGGGAGCTGCACAAGAGCACAGCCATCTCCCATGACTTTTCAGAGGGTCCAGAGGCTGTTTTGGTGTACATGTTTATTTTTACGCCCCAAAAATGCTTTTTCAAGAGGCAATTGGACTTTCTGGTTTTTCATTGAAGACGTTTCACTTCTCATCCAAGAAACTTCTTCAGATATGATTATTTTCAAGAAACTCCTGCAGCCTTAAAAAAAATCAGGCCAGAACAGTCATTGTGGGGTGTTTTAGTCACCCAAAACATTGTGCAGTGTCACTTTTGACATACATGTTATTCATCATCACTGGTCTACTTCATTCATAATACTGTGACATAATATTACTGGTTTGCTTTTGACTCAGCATTATATATACTGTGCAGAAGCATTTATGTAAGTGCTAATTTTTTTTCTCTTTTTTTATTTTATACACATAAGCACCTCAACAGAACACATAAACACATTAACAAAAATAAACACATAACTTAAAAACAACATAGGAACAATAAGTTCCATCGTATA